ACTGTCATCCTGATGCTAAATTATATTTATCTGATAAAATAATCATACAACAATAATTGTAAAATGATCTATCTAATATTTATGTTTATTTTAAAACTAAACCATATTTTATCTGATTTGATAGTTTTAAAATGTAAACAATGATTTTTAAAATATTTTCATCTGATGATTTATGTTTAACCTAGCTCACACTGATTGACATTTAGTCGTGCTGATGCTAAACCATATTTATCTGAATTAATATTTGTAAAATATTTATATTAATGATTATTGGACTATTTTATCTGATGATTTATATTTAACCTAGCTCACACTGATTGACATTTAGTCATGTTGATGCTAAATCATATTTTTCTGACTAAATAGTTTTAAAATATAAATAAATATGATAAACCTTAGATATTTTATATATAATAATTATTGTTTAACTTAGCTCACTGTTTTTATCTTATTGACCTAAACTATAAGTAATATTTAATCAATTAATTTTTTTGTTAAATTTATTTATGGTGTTAACTTTTTTCTTTTATGTGGCCATGATGAATGTCTCATTAAACCTAGCTCACTCTGATAATTTTGGTTTGATGTAACATGACAGCTCTGAGCTCAAGAAGGTGATATAGTAAACAAGTTGTTCAGCTCACATGTGTATAGTAAAGTGTTTCCTTAAATAATAATTAGTTTTCACCATAATAGTTTAAAGTATGTTTTTCTACTTTTACTTATTCTCTTAAAGTACAGAGAATTGTTAACACACAATTAGTTTTCTCTTTGATTCCATGATGATTTAAGTAAAATTAAAAAATGTGTGTTCAGTAGATCCAATCTTGGGTTGTTAGTTTTAATATAAAAGTGAATTGACATATAAAATTTAGGATTTTTAAATCTTTTTATATTTATCTTTCTATTCTTAAATTTAAATTTGAACTATTTATTTTTGATATTACTTTTAAACAATTGAAAATAAAAAATAAGACATCCCATCAAACTTAAAGTGAGAGTGAAATGATTTAAAATTTAAACTATTTTCAATTATTTATAATTGATTAATAGTTGTCAGCAGAACTTGGTCATTTTACTTCTGAAGCCCTAAGCACAATTTGAGATTTAAAAGTTACATAAACATACATAATTGGACACAAATCAGATAGAACTATAAAGTATTGAATACATCTTCCTGTATTTTTAAGATCTTTTTAGTTAAATTTTTTATTATAACTAACTAATACTTTTTTTTAATTTGATAACACCAATAGTACTTATAATACATAATAAATATATAAAAGTCAATTTTATTTTAAATATTAAATTTTTAGAATGCATTGCGATTGTTAACCTTCAGACAAGTGAATAAAGTACTTGGAATGGAAATGCTTCCTGTAAAACAACAACGTTTTACTCGCAAGCGACGTCGTGAAGGTTCAACTGGTGAAGGGAATGAAACAGAAGATGGTATTATTTCTTTATAATAAATTATTTAAATATAATATGTATTAATGACCAATTTTTACATTTTAAAGTTGGTGAAAATAAGAAGAAAGACAAAAAAGAAGATGACAGTAATATAATTCAAAGTGAGACAAGTGATCCTATTGATACTGCTGATGAAATTTCAAATGGTATAGTAGCTAATATGGAAACTGAGAAGATTGATACTAAATAGTATGTAAAAGTGAACTAGTCTTGTACATTAACTATTCTTTTTTTTTTATGTTTAAGGAATTAAATTTTACATTATAATCCAAATCATTTTGGAATTTTACCTTTATACTTGTATTATTTTCCCAATGATTGACAATTCAGTTGATTTTTTTTCTTGTGTTGATTACTTTTATTTTATAACTCATATAAGTGCATAGATTAAATTAAGCATGTACTTTCACTATAATTTTTAATATTATTTTTCTTCAATTTGTATTATTTTATATTAATTCATAAAATAGATTATATTATAACTGGTATAAATTAAATATTTTATTATCAATTAAAAAAACAGTTAAATCATACTAAAAAGATATAATATTTATCGGGTCATAAAATAAATATTCTTATTAGAATCCTTGTTTTTATTAAGAATATTAGAATTGTCAGTTATAATATCGTATAGTTAAGTGCAATAATTTATTTTTTAATTTTTATGATAAAGTTTACTTTTGGTTTTTTTTTTTAATTTATCTTTTTAAGAGTTTTAAATAGTTCAAAGATCTTCAGATTATATATATAATCAAATATTATCAAACATGTATATTAGCTGTGGCTAATTAAAAGTTTTATTGTTTTCTAAAATAAATAACAGAATATTTGTATTCAAATCTTATGTAATTTAATAATTTACTAAATATTCAAAAATTAGTAATGGATTGAACATGAAACTATTATTAATTTGAAAATATTTGAACACAATATTGTATTATACCAATAATTTGAGAACTTTTTTAATGAAATCAATGGTTTGAGTGTTTTAAAATGTAAAACTATTATACTCTGTCTAAAAAGAGAAGACACCAGATATTGTTATTTTTAGTCTGAAAGCTTATAACCTGGAAACCAAGTTAGATTATGCATATGAGATCACCACCGTTCCCAATGGGTGTTAGCCGTTTGAATGACTTATGGTTTTTAAAAAAATGATTATATTTATCGTTGAATAATAAATGTAACGTTGATTATGAATTAATAATTATAAGTGAAACTGTGTTGTCTGTGTACTGTTGTATCTGAAGTGCCCAAATATATATATAGTACATCATGTAAATTCCAAAATTGCCTTCAAATTTTGTTTTTTAAATTTTAATATACTTATCTAATTAGTCTGTTGAGTTTAAAAATAGACAGCCATGATGGCATAGTAATTGTGGGTACAATCCATCATGAAACATGTCATCTCCATCTTGTACTAAACTGGTGGTGATCTTTTCATTTGGGGTAGGAGTAATATAAATATATTACAATATAATTATTATGATCTTATTAACCTTGCAATAATATTGTTGTAAACATGATGTATACATCATTATTAAGTATCTTAAATTTTAGAACATGTTTAATAAAATTATGAGTGAAGGACTGATTGTGTATTTTTAAGTATAATTAATTCGTCATTATGTATAGTTACGTTTGGTTTTATTAAATAAATTATAACATGACATTTTTAGAAATTTTAGACAAAATGAATTAATTACTTAATAGTTAAAAATATCTGATTGGGTACTTCTTTTTCTAAGTACTATTATACAATCAGTAAATCAGTTATCATACGTAAATTTTAATTTTTTTTTGCTTTAATTTTGTTTTTAATTTTACGCATATATTATTCTATTATTATCGTTCATCCATTTTTACATTTAATGTTCCTTTAGTTTTAATATCATATTCTATCATAACCAAAATTGTTTGCAAGGATTTTCCATGTAGAACCTTCGAATTGTCAAAAATGTAATTTTGAAAGAACTAATTTTTTTTATGGCAACTTATTAGGTGGTTGAAACACAATAATACTAATTGATTTATTTTATGTATGAATGTAAAATTTGAGAAAAATTAAATAAGCCTGGACAAAAAACTAAACTTACATAACTGAACTTGTCACGTTAATTGTTATTTTTATACACAATATTTCCAAATGCAATTTTTTTCGGCAAAAATGAAAACAAATTACCCAATATTAATATCAAAAAAATATGAAATATATTGGTGATACAGGTTGATAATTTAATACATCTATACATCTATTACAGTGACCAGTGATCTACTTGACACTTGCCGTTCAGTTGAGTGGTTAGATCTACATACTTAGTACTTACCCGTGCGATGGCGCTGCTGTTATGTCTGGATAAAATAATGGTTTAAATGTTAAAGTTTAAGAATTGTACCATTTTTACATGTTTTGTTTATTGTCATAGCCATGGCCTATGTGTTAAATTTAACTCTTCAACACTCAGCTTCAAAAATTAAAGAGTAGGATTTTTTTTAATCAATGTCTGGTCTGGTAACTTTTTTTTAAACCCTCAAAACAGACAAACGTTCTATAGAATTTCGTTAAAAAAAAGTTGTATTTAGTAACATCAAACAAGTGGGACTTTACTCCGAGACTCGTAAACTGTAAACACTATAAAAAATTGTATGATATGCTGTTATAATTTTTTAAGCACATGCATGATAACTTCTGATTTGAATAGCAAGTCAATTTTGAAGACCCAGGGTTTTTTTTTTCAAGTTTTCATTACAATTTTTACTAAATATATTTTCTACAATAGTTTTATATTTTTTAGCTCTGATGTTCTTTTTGATGTGCTCTAGACAAGAGCTATGAATATAGGTAGTATATATCGTATAAAATGTTAATTAAATTATAATTAAACTACAAAAAGTACGTGCAAATGATTTAAAAAAACATTTTAACGAATTTAATATAGACAGCGGAAGATGTAGTGAGTCCCTGGCGAGAAAAAAAAATAGAAATTTGAGAATTTTTAACTTTACTACTGAGTAAAGTTTTGTACGTTGAAATGTGTTTGCATCAATAATTAGAGGCTGGAGCTAGAGTTAGGGATATACTTTTTTTTATATTATATCGTTCGGTCGAATTGGTTTTAACTACTTTATGACTAATTTTAGTCCAACCAAAAAATTACAAATAATTGTTATTATTAAGAGAACTTACAACGCAAAAAAAAAAATAGACGGGAGTATCGATCTCAATTATCTATTTATACCTATTGTCTTTTTTGATTTTAAATAAAACTCAAAATTAATTAAAAGTCTAAGACAGAATTTATCATGATATTATTTAGGGAAGAAAGTAAAAACTTTTATTTGCTGTTCATAATTGAGCTGAATTTCCTGTAAAAATCGTATCAAAAAAAAAAAAAATAATAATTACAAATATTTATTTTATTTTTTAATTGAAGTACACCTTAGGTTTTATAATTGGAACTTGTAATTTTTAATATACAATATTTATATAATTACACAATTTAACAACATAGTCGTCACTATTGTCTCCAATGAAGTAACAACTAATAACTGAAACAATTTTGGGTAAAATTTCAAGTATTTGAAACATTTGTTTTATTAAAATTAATTTACTAAACGTAACATGCATAAATACAGTGTTCCAAAAGCTTGGAATAATAATTTCCATAATTTTGTTAATATTTACAATTTGTAAAATTAGAATATTTTAATAATATAGTCACGTTTTCAAGAAATGTTATGTAGGAATATTGACCGTTGGCCAACATCGGAATATTTTAATAGTGTATACATTATAATAATATTATACGTATTATAAGTTATAACAAAGAAACAAATCGACGGCGCGGCGTTGAAAACGATTTTTCTCTTAGAAAAGTTTATTATTTCCGCAACGTTTTCCCGAAAAAAGATGATACTATGTTAAGTATAAGAGTACAGTTACAACAATTTAATATGATATTAATGATATTATATACCGTTACGTTATTTCTAGTTAATGATAATAGTTGTCAACAAACGATTTGTGTCCATGACTGTCGTTTGTCTCTCTAACGCAGGTTAGACCTGTACGCAGGTACATAAAAAATATTCGTAATTTTAATAATGGAAATTAAAATACATACATTTAACTCCCTAATATGACGCGAAACACAGTATTATTATAATATTATATTGGCAAATATACAACGAATACGATCACAGTAGACATCCAGTCTGTTGATGAGCGAATACCTAAATTGGCGAGTAGATATTCATTTATACAAAAAAAGTTACATTAATCGATTTAAAAATATCTGTTTAGTTTATTGTATTTCTTGATGACGACGTAACGAGATATTCAACCGATAGCTTTGGCCCAGACCGCAGTCAACGCGGCCACCGTAACTATGTGCATGTGTTTTGGACATGCCGATGATCTGGCGACTTTGTTCTTTGAGCTCTTTCCGATGGGTATGTCGCCTTGAAGCTCTGGAAAAAAGAAAACCATGACGTTTAAAATTTAACGAGTGTGGGTAAAAGTTTTTAATACTAAAATGACCGCAATTGTTTAATAATTCGATTCTATGTACAGGAAATAGAAGGTGCCTAGGTCGGACGATAATTATTATCAAATTTACATAAGCCGCGCGAATAAAACATAGCAGCTTTAAATCCGACAAGACCCGTAACATTAATTCTATGGATAATATTGTTATAGCAACGACGTTTCCGATTTTCAAGTACCCAGTTATATGGTTTCTGCGATGGTGATTAAACGGCAGGTAGTCTTAAGTCGTCGATGCATTTTGGCAGTGATTGTCTATATATTGTTGTGTATAGGATATTGAAAAGCTCTTTATATTAGACGGTATCGCGATTAGATGCGCTTATGCGAACCTTTAAAATGTGTAGATTATAAATTCAATAATCAGGCCTGTAGCCAGACCAAATTTTCAGGTGGGGCAAAGTAAATTTGGGGGGGGGCATTATGTATAAAAACAATATTAATGCAGTTTTTAATTTATAAACACTAACATCTCATTAAATTGACACAACTATAATTTTCCATCTAAAATTCATTTATAATAGAATATTTTGGGAATTTACAATGAAACATATATTTTAAAAAACGGGCAAGTGAGTACCGCTCTGCTGTACATTAGGGGGTGGGGTGAACCTCGGACTAGGGTAGGTTAAATTTGAATGCTATGATAGGTAACATTGTACACGAAAAACGATTCTAAACGGAGATGATTTGTCAGTCTAGGATATACCATATTTAAATATTGTCATACATTCTATTTTGAAACAAATATTTTATTTTTCAATTAGGGCGCATTTGCAAAAGTCATGGTTAATTAATTAATTATTAATTTTTATGAATTATACCTACAAAATAGTTAGCAAATATTCATGGTTTTGACGAATTTTTGTCAATATTTAAACTTCAAATGCTAATAAAAAAAAATTGTGCCTATGTATTCTTAAAATTTTTTGATCACTACAAGAATAACTTATGAGGAACTTTGTATTAAATTTTCAAGTATTTTGATTAGGTCAAAAATTTTTGATCGACACTTCAAAAAATAATTTTCAGAAAAATTGAAAATTTCAGTTGTCTATAAATAACTGGTTAAAATTTTCAAGTATTTACGACTTATACTTTTTGAATATTAACAAATATTTAAAATCGTTTGAGGATAAATCGTTATCGTCACGCTATTTTGTAAAAATTTAAAATTCAAACGCACTTAAAATTTTTCCTATAATGATGCTTCGAGTTTTTACTATAGCTACTAGAAGGAAAACTATAGCTACTAGAAGGAAAATTGAGGGAAAACAGGTAGTGTAGTATTTTTAATCCTTAGTTATAAACAAACATTTTTATGATTTTTCAACTTCAAAATTACTTACAAATTTTCGCGTTTTCGATACGTTTATAAAAAAAAATTGTGACTAACGATTTTTAATTTTTTTTAGCTACAATAAGAACAACTCATAAGGAACCTTGTATTAAATTTTCAAAATTTTTTGGTAATTCAACATTTTTTTATCGACACTTCAAAGAAAAATTCTCATAAAAATCGATAATTTCAGTGGTCTATAAATAACTCAAAAAAACTCAAAATTTGGTGAAAATTTCAAGTATTTACAGTGATTAGTTTTTGAATTACAACCATATAAAAAAATCGATTTGGTCGAAAACTGGTTTTGCGTAAAAATTCCCGTTTTTCCGTCATTTTTTTTTTGTTTTTCTCAATTTTTTTGTAAACTGTTGGAAAATGTTTACTTTTTACCTTTATAATGCACCAAGGATATTCACTTTGCCATCGGAAACCACCCCCGAAGTTTGAAATTGAAGCATTATTTCGACTACTTATGCTGTACACAGACACAAAAAAAAAAAAAAAAAAAACACATCGTTGTAAAATCAATACATTCATTACTCCGTTCAGAATCTAAAATACAAAACGAATAATACTAAATAATAAAAATAAAACTTAAATTAAAATTTACGTAGATAATTAAATATTACATTGATGTCGCATGGTTAAATTTTTATGGTAATATTTTTAGGGGGGCAACGCTCTCCCCCATGCCCCCGTGGCTACAGGCCTGGCAATAATACAAGAGGTGTTTACGACCACGTGTTTTGAGCGTATTCGTCATGTATTATGTTAGATATGTATACCTTCCAATAGAAACGGTTTGCTGGTTATAATATAATGTACGACAGAGATGTCGGACGAAGAATGTCTGCTACTGTGCTGCAGGAGGTGACACCGTGCGAAAAGAAAAACGAACGTCAATCGCATTCAAGAATCTTTCTATGTCTAAAACCGTTTTACCTTATCTTCAATATATCTCGAGACGTGACGGCCCAGACGCATCCCCTACACCTAGCATATGTAAATGCGAATCCGTTCGAGTATGAAATGTAATTCATATTTATATTCTTTTCCGTCGCAGTGTTAAACGCTCCGTATTGTTGCAAGGTAGGGCAGATACGTTACAATACGACGAATATGACGTTTTGGGTGTGCGGCCTACGCTTGGGGTTATTTATTTTATCTTAAATCGGACTCAAACGTCGCATACTTTGCGGGTGTTTTGATTTTGATTTTTTTTTTTTAACTGTAAGTGATACAAATATTTTTTTTTTGCTCAACAACAACATGTTGTCATATCAGATTAATTTGCTCTCCTAACTGTTCAATTTAATTGCACTGCTATAATGACAGGTTGCTTTTGATGCTCTCGTTGTTGTCGATCTCTGCAGTTTGCTTATAATATATAATATTCAATACGTCAATATTTTTGAAATAATGAATATACCAGTTTGCACGATTGACATTTATTGTAACAATAAAACCATATAAATATTTTATTAATATTTTGTATATATTGTTACAGGCAATGCTAAATTTAGTTAAATTTTAGGCGTGATAGAATATTATATTTTATTATTGCTAATAAAACATGTAAATTAGTATTAGTCATAATTCACGACACTATATATAATTTTCTAGGAATTAATTTATTCAAATTAAAAAAAACAATGCTGTTAATTTAGTTTTTCTTTTGACTGTGTTTACATATTCAATTGATAATCATTAGAATAATTAACTTAACTTAGCATATCCACCTAACTTAAGGCTAGAAACTAAAAATATATATATAAACTCTGAGAAACAAATAATTTAGATAGAAACTTATTACACTATCTATATTGTTTATTCGTATTTTGGAATTTCAAGGGATGCACGGAGGAGAGGAGTCCAATACAGTTTTATAAGTAGGAAAGTTGTCCACACCCCCGGGGTTTTCTGGAAATTAAGAACTAATTAAAATAATTGGTTTGAATAATTTACCTACTGTCAAGGTAATTAAAAAATAATTCTTTTGAAAGTAAGCATGTGAATTTTATTGAAAAATTATAATTTTTAAGTTATTTTGAATGACATACATTTTTAATTTCTTTTTCTATTATAATATAATTAAATATATTTTAATAATGAAATTAGTGGCAATAAATTATAATATGCTGATCTAATTTTTAGATACTTATGACTAATTAACTAATAGTTAAAAATTCGATTTTTATTTTCCAAAATACCTCAGAGATTATATAAGTGGATCTAAGCTATTAACATAAGAGTAAACTAATAAATTATCAACTAAGAACATAATATAATCTATTTTTTGTTATATTATCATTGTCAAAAATTATCTTGGGATAGAGAGTATTATTCATGAGACTTCACGTAATTTGTAATTTGATGTTAATACCTATTCAATGTATAATAATATATATATATAAAACTAGTTACATAGTCAATTGCGGGGCTGCGCAGCGAACCGTCTCCCTTGACCCATTTTGGTAAAGATTTATTTTTTTTAATATTAACTACGAATTTACGAACAGTTAGTTATTTTTAATAAATCCATTATGTGAGTACAAATTTCTGTAATTTTATACCATTTGGTTTATATGTATACACAATATAAAATCATACTAAATACTAATACACATATTGTTCTTTGTATTGGGAAATTTAAATTTTAGAGATTTCAATCGCTGTTCGGGAAACTACTGCTCAACGATGGTCGACGGTGCAGTTATTATTTACACTCGACCCTCGTATAATATTCAGCAAGTATTGTGATGATAATAATAATAATCATATGGAAGGGAAATTTATCTAACAAGTTGCAGTGGAAAAAGCGTTCAACGGGTAAGTGTGCTTATTGTGTGCGCACGCGCGCGTGTGTGTGCTGTGTGGGGCCAGTTTACGGTGAATTTTCTCTCGTTCTTATCGTTTTTTTCTCTCTCCGAAATAAGGTATTGTGAAACAAATAACGTCGGAATATAAAAACAGAAAAACCTCAGAATAACAACCCTTTTTAGAGGGTTACTGCTCGTTTATAACTCCGAATGTGGCCAATCTCCGTACATACGCAAGCAATAATATAATGTGATGTTGCACAGCGACAGACTACACCATCGCAATTTTTATGAAGTACCGCAGAGTTATTTCACGCCCTATTCTAGTGAGTTTATTTTTCTCGAGGCCATAAACTGATTTCATTCGGTCGTCAATTCACTTTGCCGAGAATCTTACGCAGTAAAATATCACTTTTATTTATCTTTGTATGTTTTGAATATTCAAATTGTATTCTTTATCATAAAAATAGGTACCTACCTACCTATCCAAATTTGATCTATATGATTACATAAACGCATAATATGTCGTACGATATCTTGTAGTGTATGTTCATAGAAATTGTTAAATGTACAAATTATTGTGCGTTAGAAAATATTAAAATATGTCTGGTGCAAAGGAACCACTAAATGCTTATAATTTATAACCTTAAAATTTGATAATAATCTGCTAATACAACATAAATTAAAAACATTATTTAACATTATTTACTATATATAGTTATAATAATTAAGGTTCCCTAATCTCGAGCAAGTGTATTTTTTTAAATGAATTATTTTTATGAACGACTATATGGTCTATGGCAGTGATGTCCAACCTTTTTTCTTTGGTGGGCCACTTTGGTAAACAATTATCTTCAAACGGGCCACAAAGTATAAAAGTACAAAAATAATCTTATATATTGGACTTGTTTTCTTATCTTTTATTGTCTATTGAAAAGATTATGAATTGAGGTACACATCGTAGGTACCTAATAGGTACACATTAATTTGATCAGTTCGTTATTTTAAGTACACGGGTGATATCGATATTTAATTGTAAAGTTTCCGTATGAAAATTTCAGACAGAAAAAAACGAAAATATAATGATGATTTTGCTGTGATGAACTTCAAAAAATAAAACAAAACGATATTTTAAAATTTTATTCAAAATTCTACACAAAGATTTCCCTGCTTTAAGAGACTTTATAATGAAAATGGCTACTGTATTTGACTCGACGTATATATGCGAACAGATATTTTCAAGAATGAAACAAACAAAATCGGTTCATGGATCGCGACTTACGGATGAACACCTTCATTCAATTTTGAGGATTGGAACCACTAAATTTCAACCAGATTTTTCATTATTAGTAAAAGAAGTACAAGCTCAAATTTTATATTAAAAATAAAAGTAAAATATTTTTGTATAGTTTTTAGTTTTATTATTATTATTGTATTTTTTGGAATAATTATTTAAACGAATTCATAAATTTAAATATAAATAATATATGAAAATAAATAATTGAAAAATTTGTTCATACATTTTAAAACTTTTTTTTATATTAGAAAATTCGTAACGGGCCACATAGAATACCTTCGCGGACCACATGTGGCCCGCGGATCGCGGGTTGGGCACCTCTGGTCTATGGCATCGGTCTTTTCTAAGATTTTAGAAAAGGCCAAATTTAATTTTTGAAAATTACTTGCGGCCGCATACATTTTTAATGACAATAAATAAAAGTAATAAGATAAGATAAAAAGTAACAGCGGTGAGCGACATAGTTTTTTAATTTTATTATCTTATATATAATAGTAATAATAATTAAAATTATAAAATAAGAATTTTATCTTATTCACTGTTCATAGACTTGGAATTTAGAATGTACAATTTAATTTTAGTGAGGGACGCATAAAATTTGTCAAAGGACCGCGTAGTGGGGGATAACTATGGTTTTAGATGCTTTATCATGTTTACGAGAAAAGTAAAGCTTCATATATTTTTTTATCAGTATTGTCGATAATATTTTATTAATTTTCTGTTTTTATATTAATCAGTAAGTTGATAGTTTTTGTTTTAAATTATGTCTTTTGTATTGCATTTTTTTATAGTTAACAAGCGATTTTGATTTAAACCTATTTAAAGAACTTTTTTTAATGAAGTAAGCAAGCCATTTAAATATGGATGAACAAAAAGAAATTCTGTAATAAGTACAAAAAATCATTATTAAGAATATTAAAATTATTTCCGAGTTTTTGAGTTTTTGCTATTCTTTGAACAATGAGAAATACATTTTTCTGTAATATTACTGACATATTCAAAAATAAATTTAAATTAAATTTCATTCCTTAAACTGATTAAGATAACAGTTGGCGTGAAAATATAATTTATTATGTGGTCGATATAATAATTTATCGTAGTTGTATCTGATAATGTTATTATAATTGCTTAATATTAACCAATAATAAAAAACAAATTATTACAGCGGGAGGTTGATAGTTGCCTCAATGTCCTCAGGTTACGGAATCATGACATTTCTACCAATAACAGTATTATTGTAACTTGTAAGTTGCATGTCAAAATGAATTTTAAGCGAATGATAATAATAAACGATGCGTAACAATTAAATACAATATAAATATTTATAAGAACAGCTTTTAATTCTGAGGAAGTACTTGAACTTCGAAAAGCGTCGATTTAACAATACTAAAATATTGTACTAACTCGTAATTTATAATTGCAGTTGGTTTGGATTGAACATTATTTTTTTCTTTTCAACTATAAAATTGTAGGTCGATAAAATAATTAATTGTATTATTTCAACTAATTATATTATTGATTATTATTATTAAAATAATTTTGTTAGAATTACAATAATTTTTCTTTCCGCGCGCGGAAATTAGTCTTTTAAAAAGGGAATTCCCTTAGGAATATACGAATAGTTATTCTTGTCCAAATATTACATTGGGTCGTTGTTATAATTCTAAGGGGCATTGGTATCAATAAGACGGTATACAGCTAAACACACCAGTAGAATTTTAATGAATTTTCTACTCAACATGTTTTCTAACCAACTTATATTTTATGCTCGGATCCTAAAGACGTTTCGAGTTTATTTGTGTACGTATTAATTGAAATAACTGTTTATGAAATTAGTTTTAATTTGAAAAAGGCTAAAGGGTAACTTAAATAAATTCTTTTCAAAACGTATAAAGACTGTTCAGTTATTGTATTGAATAACATTTCAATGTAACCAATTGACAAAATTATGCTACTGTACAAGCGACTTACTACAGGTAGAATTGACTCAAAAAGGATTTCATGTGTATAAACGTTTCGGTTTTGTATAATAAATATAGGAATTGTTTTGTTTGGTTGTACGTTCGGTTTTTAATGAATAATGTTTTAATTTTGTGTCATGATGCTTGCTGACACTTGTTAAATTGTAACGGTCAAAATAATAGTATTATGAGGTTTAGTACTATTGTAGTTATGTTATAAACAGAACAGGACCAACTGTTATATTATAAATGAATAGTGTCATTACGAAAGTAACCATAGTGTCGCCTGATATTTAATTAGTACATTTGAAAGTATAAAAGTGTAATTATTTTATTTTAATATCTTGTAACTATGTTATTATATCAACAATAACATAATTATAGTTAATTATACTTGTCGTATAATAATTAAAATTAGCGAAATGAAAACTTATGAATTTTAATTTTCAAGTGATGTATTTTTTTTTGTCACTATGTCACCAATGTGGCAGAAATTGTGCGATATAAACGACAATAGTATGACACACTTATAGCAATTAAAATATCTGCATAAATAAATAAAATTATGATGTTGTATTATTTACAGTTTGGGTAAATAGTTAATTTCGTTATATTAGACAGTTATTACTCATCAGCTAGAAAGTAGTAACTGTGTAATTATAATTATGATGATAATATTCTTTTACCTGCAGTAATATAGTGCAAGTAATTCTGAAATAGTGTTTTGTAGTAATGATTTAAAAAAATTAATATTTTAAGTTTATTAATCACAATGCACATACTATTTTAGAATTATTTTTTTTTCTTTTATCGATCGATTTATATAATATGATTAAACTTATAATAATATGTATCAGATAAAGAGAATTGAAAAAATGATTAAAAAAATACGATGGCAATATTAATAAATTTCATAGTCATAGAAGATTATTTTCAAAAATTAAATCGTTAATGATGCAAACATTTTCTCGTTAAAATAAGCCCACATTTATACGTGTATACATAGGCATTTATATTACGAGAAGTATCGATAGTAATAATTTTATTATAAAACATAGTTTAATGTATACATGTTTCACTAAGTGACAGAGGCTACCGTTGATGTGCTTAGACAGGAGATGACTTCATATAACTATAAAAGTAATAATAATTTAAAACTAACTTGCATTTGTTAAATATAAATTTTAGATCTACGAATTCAGAGACGAATTAAATTTAAATAAAGTAAGAACTCATAATTTAGTACATCAATGTAATTATATAAAAGTATGATACCAGTTATCAATGTAAACTAGTACCTTTAATAATAATAATGATATTTTAGTTCACAGATGCATACATTTTTAGTCATTTTCCGGAAGATTTTAATAATTTGTTAAGTTTTGGCATCCTTGTTTGTACATTTAAGTCAACTTTTATTCCTAAATATTGGTCAATGTTAAAAAAAGTGAGTTATTAAAATTTATCGAATTAAATGAATTTGTTAAATTAGTTTTGTTGTTCTAAACATTTTATGAAATCACTTGGGATCATTAGAGTTTCATTAAAATTTTAAGGCTTTAGATGTATTTTGTTGATTTTAGTTTGTTATATAAAGTACATAACTTTTATAATAAAAAGTAAATATTTAAAAAAAAAAAAGTTTGGTCAAGTATTAAAACATTAAAATGTTATGGATTTATTTTTTGACCAAAGTAATGTATAAAATAAAACAAGGTAAGTATCTATAACATTTTATTTTTTTTTGCAAATAATAATTTCTTACAATACTTAAATGATATCTAAGTTAAGTTAGTTTAGCCATATTTATGTTAATGTTAAGGTTCCATTTTAAAGTCATGTCTTATATTCTTAATACGAGAATTGTATTTTAAAATAAAATCGTTTTTAAATCTGTATTTCGTTTGTAATTTTATATAACATAATTAAGGCAACACGAAGTATTATAGTTAGCTTTCAATCCGTTAAGCGGGGATGAATAATATCCTTTCATAAATATGAATGTTCACATAACTGTCTACAATTTAAAATACTTGTCTTATGTAATATTATCTACGGCTAAAATATATTTATCCAACTTTATCAGCCATTATAAAGTAGTTGAATAGCGAGCAGTGTGCTTTTTTTCAGCTATAAAATTCGTTTATTGTGTGATTGGAATAAATTTACCCCTCGTGACCATATCCTTTTTTGTTTTATATTTATATAATACTTAATAGGTATTTGTGTATTTTGTAAATCAACATAAGTGTCACTAGTGAGTGGAAAAGTGCAGGCTTCTATAATCATGTCAATTCACAGATAAAACATTCTTATTGTGTATTGTATATTTATATGTATCGATAAAATAATATGTGTGATAATGGTTTATAATATTATATTAATTAAACAAAAATAATAATATTTATATTTATTTTAATAATGTTATAAAATGTATAAAATTATGATAAATCGAATTTGGGGATTTAATAATTATCTACATAATGATTTTCAGTACATTTTTTTTTATTTTCTTAAAATTATGCATGCTTTTTTTTGGTTTGGTTTTCTATTTAAATATTTTTCGTGAATTATGAGTTATATATATGAATATTTTTATTTGAAGTCTTGTTCTTTAAATAATATACATTTTTGATGTATGTTATTCTTAAGACTGAAATTAACTGTTGAAATGTAAAAATAAGAAAAACAATGATTGCTCATTATTATTTTTTACGATTTGGATAACTCATAGGTGACGAAAAATAAATATTTAATGTGGAAAAATAAATAAATGCAATAAATGACCGAAATTTATAAGACAGCCAATATTTTACTATTCTTAATATATATTATTTAGTTTGTTGTTATTATGAGTTCTATTATTTACCTGTTCAGAAAAATAACCATATGTACTTGTTTATAAGTTATAACTTATTTAAATATTATATAAAACTGTAACCGTGACAACTTACCGTACACTCTTAGCGTGCCTTCAGAGTTTCCAATGGAGTTAGTTGATATGCAATTGTAGGTTCCCACATCTGATTGATCGAACATTTTGATAACAATGTAGTACGCAGCCTTGTAGCCGGATATTGTTTCTCGAAGAATGTGCTTGGGCCTGGGGAGAAAATAATTGCAATTAATAGTCTAAATGATATTTAGTGGTACATGGAATGGCTGAATGCTTAAATTATATTAAGTATTCATGACATAGTAGGCTGTATAATTCTGAGAATAATGAGGTAGAGCAGACAATTTTTTCGTTCCTATTTTAATGATACAATGATTGTATTACATAATATTCGTGTACGATTATGATGATTGTGAACTAAATCACGAAATTTGTTGAATGTTGATACTTTTTGATCGATACTACCTAATACTTATGCATAACGTAAATTCATTATTAAGGGCGTAGAACAAATAAATAACATAATTTTATAAATTAATATTATTACGATATATATATTTTTTTTTTTTTTAATAAAAATACATTGTTACATACTTAAAAAATCAATATGAAACGCAACGTTTTGAAAAGTCAAGAAAATTAATTGTAAAGCGCAAGTTTATCAGCTATCAAAAAAATGAAAAACTTATTATATTTAATTTTTTGAGTTTTTCCGTATTTCAAATCGGTTAGTTATGATTTTATGAAAGATATTGGTTGAAGAAAATAAAAAGAGAGCAAATAAATTATACTTAACATGCATATTGAATTGGCTTCATTCAATTGCATACTTTTCAAAAGATCAGATTTTGAATGCATTAACAGGTAAATTTCCAAATATTAATATTTTTAATTATATTTCAAAGTATGTAATTTATTTGAACTGTACAAATATAATTTTTCCCTTTATAAATAGCTTATATTATTATTAAATGTTGATTCAAAAAAATAAAACCTGTGTCTAATTGTTGTTTATTCTATTAATGTTACTGTTAGCTAATAATCAGAATTTTTTTTTTTTTTTTGATAAGGAATGATTTCAGTATTTCCAATTTTGAATTAAATATAAAACACACCAATTGATGTTGTTTATACGAAAATATAGCTGAGAAAATGTCAATTTCGGAACATTATTCTAATATTGAGCTCTTGATTTTAAAAAACCGTAAAAAGGATTTAAGCAGCTCTCCAACTACCTTGTACGCTGTAAGTTTTGCTATAACTTCTACGACAAATTGCGTACACATTTAGAGACTAATAGCTATAAATTTATCCAATAATGTTCAAACATTTTATTACATGTTCCAATACCTTTACTTAGGATTTGATTTATTTGTGATGATTGTACTTTATGAAAAAAAAGTAAAAATACTATTCCATAACTTTATGCCGTGGTTATTATTATTATTATTTTTTTTTATCAATTCTACTGAATGAAATATATGAAGACATTTAAAATCCACCAGATTTTTTTTTTTATTTTGATTTATTTTTTGCGATAAGAACTTGGAGAATTATAGAAAATATTAAGTATCGAACTGTCGTAAATAATTCATCTAAAAATGTCTTTTCTTACCTTTTTTTTTTTTAAAGTATTATTGGAAAGAGTTTTAAGTAAAATAACTCTGTATATTGACGTGAACAATAACATTTCAATAAATTTTATTATTTAAATCACAATTCTATAAACCGAAAGTTGTTTGTTCGTTTTATAGCTTTTAAGATATATAATTTTACAAGTATTATAGTTATCTAGCTAATTATTTCTCATTTAATATTTAATTTTTTTAAGTTATGATGTTGTTACGGCACTTTAGTGACTTAGGTTTGGTAATATTAATAATTATTTTTAAATAATAATGTTTAATAAGTTACTGGTGCTCTGGTACATAATTTTTCCACACTTGAAGAATTGATGATTTATTAACATTTTTTCTGTCATAACATACTCGTAAGTTTATTGTTAGCAATTATGTAGATTTTTATTTTAATTGCCTTGGAACACTTTTTAATAGATAGAGTTTTTAAAAAGTTTGTTTTAGTAATCAGAAATATATTGTGAATGGTATTTAATGAAAGGATTTTTTCGTTTAAAAGTCAAAAGTAATGTTTCTCAATAAATGTGTTGCGACACACTGGTGTGTCACTGGATAAGCAAAATGTGCTGTTAAGTACCTAACAAAATATATAAACATTTTTGTCACGATTTACAAAAATGTATATGTATATTTGATAAAATTTCTATGATGATAAAAATTTGTCATCTGTTATCGACATTAATCATTATTTTTTACGTTACATATTTCTTTGTTATTTTTAAGTTTACATTAGCAATTAAAATTAAATATTACCCATTATCCTATTTTTATAATGTGTCATAAAGTATGAAATATTTTAATATATAATGTGTCGCCATAAAACAAACATTGAGAAATACCAGTCTAAAGGACCAAATACGTAAATCTATCTTAAAAGTCATCAAAGTATGTCATAAAATGTTATCAACTATGGTTTCAATAGCTCTTCGTTAAGAATTGTTTTCTGATCGTGATGATTAATTGTAGCTTTTAATTGAGTATGATAACACATTTCAGTTCAATTCTGACTGTTTAACTCTAGGTTTCTGTATCTTGTTTGTTGCTATGTTAAATAATTAGATGGAGTATAAATACATCAGTAGTAAAAATAGGTCCAATTTACAGCTCTTGTCGTTCAATTCCTGAAAAATCCATCCAATCCAAACGACGGCTTTTTTAGTACTATACAGTAAATTCGCGCAAATAATGTACTAACTGATTTGATTTTTAGGGATTGTCACTAAATCAGTAACGATAATCAATAACGCATTTAATTTACCCTTATACAATTACAATTAGTATTTGTATTTTTAAACCGTTTATTATAACACACGTAAATTACACATGTTTAGGTTTGCAACGTTCATAAAGTAAAATTACACCATCAGACCGAAGAAAAAAGAAATTGTTTTTGGGGTATGAAGCGTTTTCAAAATTAAAAACTATAATTGGAAACGTTATTAAGTTATGACTTTTTTTTCGGTACAAATTCGGTATGACATAACTTACGAGTATTTGGAAATGTTCTAATAATTCATTTTTATTCAGTTACAACTTCGTAGTTTATCCTATACACGTGCGTGCCACTGATATTAATATGTTAGCGTGTATAACTGAATTTAAATTTGGAAAGAGGGCAACAGCCATTTATTATGTCCAGCATTATACCTGTCCTCCACGCGTCAGTTAAGCACCGAAAGTGTGGATAATCATATGTACGCGCGCACAAGGGTTATTAGTTTATTACTTATTTAAAGTGCAAACAAATTGCGCTTGTGTTAATTATTATTATTATTATTATTATTATTACTGTTGTTAATCAACAGTGACTTGGTTATGGTAGTAATTCATTCTGTTTAAAATCTGTCATGAATAGATCACGCATATTTTACTCCCACGTGTTTTAAATTAAACAACGATAGTGGATGGATGGAGTTGTATCATGATTAGAATTCTCTCAGCAACAGAGACCTATAATAATTGGAAATTACTGTTTGGTGTACGTTACCGTGATGTTAACTTGGTTCAAACACGAAAAACACATAAAATATTATATTTTATATTTTTCCGCCGAAAATTAAATAGGCCTAATATTATAATTTTTTAAATATTTTATCAATTTTGTTTTAATTTATTTGTTAAACTTTATTTAATTGAAAAAAATGCTTTAAATTTCTTGTGATTAATGCGAAATCAACGAATATTAAAATTCATAAGTGTGCGGTATAAATTAATGTATAACGACAAACAATGATGCAACTATATTTTATACGGACAAAGTAAACGTTTTAAAATACACAATGCTTATATTTTTTTCATGTTTATTTTATAGAAAATATTTAGTTTACCATTTATCACAATATGCTGAAATGAATTCTAATGGTTTATTTTTTCGATATTACCATTAAGAGTATCAACTCTCGGTTTAATTGATTCCATTCAATAATATTCAAAATTTCATTAAAATATCACATTTAGAAATTAATATTTATAACGATCTGACGATTTAACGGTTTTAGAATAATACAATTTTGTGTAGTTTAACTGTTTGAAAATTATATTTATTCAAGAGAGTAGTAGTTTTTATCGGATTTTTTTTTACTCCTACTTTATTTGAACCTAATTATTTTCAGTACGTTATAATTTATTAAGTACCAGTGTTGAATTTTTTAAAAATCCAATAATCACAATGGTTTGGATTTTATTATTTAAATTTCAACAAATACACCAATATTAAAGAGTGTATTCCGGTTATTTCGACGTTAAATAAATATTTATATAAGGTATAGGCTTTTATTTTGAAATATAAATTATTGGTTATTGTGTATGTAGTACTTAATCGAGGTAAATTTTCAAAAAAATACACTTCGTTGTAAGTTTTAAATTGTCTATAATGAAATAGTCATTTTTTACTATGCGACTGGTATTGAAAAGAATGTCTTGTGTCAAGTTAAGTGTTTGGTTATTTGATAATGCACACGTTTTTCTAATTTTAACATCCTAAAGTTACGAAATTTAATTCTGTTTTAAACATAGTATGTGCAATTTAATTTTATATTAATCATAATAGTCATTTTTACAATTTGTGAAATAAAAGTCACGTTTTATCTAAAATCTTAATACTCTATAGTCTATAAGACTATAATTATTATTTATAAATGCGTTTTTCATTTATCAAGCATATATACAAATACACATCACATCTTTATAATTAAATTAATAGTATTTACTTTGATATATATCATCTTAAGAAATAAAAATATGAAAAGAAAACACTGTATGTTCGAAAAATATTTACATACGTACCATTTATATAAAAAAGAAACGCTAAAATTATGTGAAACTGAGATAATTATCAAAGTAAGCTTAATTTTACATACTAATTATTACCATGTACATAATTTTAGAAAATATTACTTTAAATTATTATTTTGTTTTATGTCTAAGTATAACCAAAGTTATCAAGTGTCAAAAGTTTGACTCTTAACTCGTAAACAGCGATAATATTGTTTACCATCTTTGCATCTATGTAAACAGATAATCGTAAAATCGGTTTTATAAGCGAATTAGTAAGATTATGTAGTATATTAA